GAGCAGAACCATGTCTGCTGATAACAAGCTCCATGCTCTTACCATTTAAAGCATTAGTTTTCACTTTAGTGTTAGAATCATCAAAATTCACCCAGAATCACAATCTCTATAACAGAGCATAGAGAATATGCATTTTTATAAGTTCTTGGATGATTTTGATGTAGGACTTATTAATCACTTATGAAACATTTGCCTCAGAAAGTGTGATTTCAAGGACACTGCTGTCAAAAGTTCTGATACAATGTCCTTATTTAAAAATCTTGCTTCTGGAAGAATACTACTTGAAGCCTTGTCAGTTATGTAAACTGTAAAATCAAAGAAAATTCTCTTCTGAGAAGACCTTTATAAGAGAGGTGGGAAAAGCTAGAAAACACAAATTCCTGAGCTGGGGAAAGAAAAAGTAGAAATGAAACCTTAAAAGGTAAAGGGGGAGAAAAGAACAATCTTGAAGTACTAGTTTACCAATCAGCATCCAAGAAGTTTTTCTTAATTAAATACTGTGTGTGTGTGTGTGTGTGTGTGTGTGTGTGTGTTTTAATTTTAGGTACCAGCGTTCATATGTATAAAGAGATTTGAGAATCTTTTGAAAAAAAAATACAGACATCTGCTTGGTTTGCTAATTACAGCAGCTCACTGGACGTAAAGGAGAATGTTTAATTTAATTATTGACTTTGACGTTGCCACTGATAATAAAACTAGCTAGATTAATTAATTGTTCAATGGTTATAGAGACAAAGAGAACACAGTGAGACCTACTTTCCATCAATATTTGGACATCCTTTTTTGCAGAATAGTCATGTAAGTTACATGTACTATTTTATAATATTAGCTTGCTTGCCTATCATGTCTTCAATTCCTCTTTTTTTAAATTTAAGTGGAATATAACTTGTCCTTTGAAATACATACTATTCTTGCAAAATTCATAACTATTTATGTACATAATAGTCTGCATAAGATGGTGTCCTTCAAGTGGAACCTAATACATATTGAGTCTTCCTTAAATTATTAAAAGCTGCATTACTTGAGTCTTTATCTGTAATAGTTCCAATCACATAATCACTGTGTATGGGCTAGAGTTAAATTTCCTGAAGAGGTAATGTTAATTTAAGTTTAAAATTACTCCAGAGAGTTTGTCTGTGGTCCCAAATGGCTGTAATGTTTCTAGCTTTGGACTAACATTGAGCTTAATGTATGATTCGATAATAATTCAGTTTATTATGAAAGTGAACATTTTACTAATGGACTATTCTTTAAAAATCCCATCTCCTCTCTCCACAACAGTTTGACAAGTAGACATTTGCTACTTTTGTTTGAACTGGTTTCTTGGGTATACCACCTCCTCGACCTTTTCATTCTTGCAGAAACATCTTGCTTTTCTTTGTAGTTGAACTCAGAAGCTGGGTTCTTTCGAATCTGTAAGAACTCAACACTGTAACAGTGAACAATGAACACCTCTCAGCCATCTCTGCTGAGTACCTAACATCTCTGATTGGTGCCTTGGGATAGAAAAAGGATTGAGCCAGATGTGCAAAACATAACCCCACAGCCAAGAGTTTTTCAGAAGACTGATATGGTATTTCCATTATTTGTTCCAAATAGGTTGGAAATATATTACAATTTTAAAGTTTTTATCCAAGAGAACCCCTTGCTTTTTCTTCTCAGGTAAAAACTACACAATGAACATTTTGTATAATAGCAGGGTTAAAATGGATGAGACATTAAAGGTTTTTTTTTTTTTTAAACATAATCCTTTTCTATGGATATTGTGTGAAAAGATGGCCTGGGAAATACTATCTGGAACACAGAGGTCACTTGTAAGCAAACTTATAATAGTTCATAGACACTAAACAGATACACTTTATCTTTCAAGTGTTACAGGGCATTTGAAGGCCTCTGAACCCTGCCCCCAACTCTGGTCCTGGAATTACTGCAAATTTTGTCTTGGAAAATACATTTTTCTGCTTATCTTGCTGGAAAAATAAAGTCTAGTAAAACAAAACATACATTCTTCCAGGATGGAAATGTCCACTATTGAACAAAGCATATGTTTTCTCTTACGCTGAAATCTGATTTTTGTATTTCTTTTACACATTGCCCTCTGCAAAAGTTTTAAGAGATACCACCTCCCATCTTTTCTTGGGATGTAAATCAACAATTACTCAGTTCCCACAATAAATGTTAAGGTCATAAACGAGAGCAGACAGTACTTTGATCTATGAAAGATTGAGGTATTGTCTATTTTGTTGGCAACAGTGCAAACCAGGGTAGCATTGCTCCCTATTCATACTTACATGACTGTTTCCTCTTCCTCTTTCTCCTCCTCCTCCTTCTTTCTTCCCCTTATCTCTCCCCCCACCCTCTCTCCCTCTTTCTGTACTAACGAGATTTTCTTTTTAGAAAAATAATTAAAAGTATAATTACTATCTTGGTAAAATTTTCAAAGATGATTTGAAAATCTAAGTGAAGCATAAGGTAACTAAGACTGTGCTTATGTAAAAAAAAAAAAAAATCCACTGAAACAGTAAAATTCAGAGGGCAGCCAGACTATTTGCAACAGCATAATACATTTGTTTATTTAGTTAAATATTACAACAATAACAGGTTAAGAGCACTAGATTTGTATCCCGTTAATAGGATTATGATCAAAATTTTGATTTGTAAATTTAACTCTTCTTAGCCATTAAAAATCCATTTTCCAAAAGAGTGATAATATATGTTATTATTAAGGGACAAATTTAAACTCTGATTTATGATCAAAAGCATATTTGTTCATTAGTTTAAACAAAACAGAGACATTTTAACTCTTGGTTACTGCTTTCAGAAAAGCACAATGTTCTTGAAGCAAATATACATGACATATCTTTTTCAGTAGTGAGTTCAACCATTGTGTATTATGTCAATGACAGAACCTGAGAATCCCAGATTTATTATCTCCGGATCATTGCATCACACTCTGGTTTACTTAAACAATCAAGAAAAAAAACAACAACATGTATTTAGTGCCTACTATGTACAAGCCCGAATAATAAAGCAGTACAAGAAATACAAAGAAGTAAAACTACTGGTCCTTGCCCTGCTCTTTCCAATGCAGTTGGTAAGATTAAACATAGACACAAATTATTCCACTTCCAATGTCCTCAAAAGTAGTGATTATTTTAACTGAACTGTATCTCAGAATCTCCTCTGAGGGAACCTAGGGGAAGCAGAGACATTCCCAGCAGTGATGAAAGTCTTTGAATTCGATTTCTCAGCTTCAGGCTTGAGGGCTTCTTGAACTCCTGAAACTGAAAGTGTTCCAGCCAGTCTCACACCTGTCACTGTTCGGTGGCTGTACTTGAAATTGTTTCTTGGACTCCGACAGAGGAGCAAGATGAACAAATATACACATATATTATGTGTATACACATACATACACACCTACATACACTGGAATCACATACAGGGTGATGTTTCCCTTATGTATATATATTTCCCGGAAAGCTGGGAGTTCAGGACATTTGAATCTGAATGGAGAAGAGACTAACTCACATTGTCACTTTTAAAAAAATTATTATAATAAAACAAGATACCACAATAAGAAAAATATGAAAAAATCTCCAAACTCCACTGGACGCAGGCAAAAGTAGAAAGGCTACCAGAAAAGAAAAGAGCGCCCACCAGAGAGGAGATGTTGAGAGGGCCCTGGAGAAGGGAGGGAGCTCTCCTCCACTCCCGCTCCACTTCAAATCTTAGGGTCCTCCAGAAGAGCCTCCCGATAGGGAAGAAAAGGAAAGCAGAAACACATTTTCCAACACCGAGACTAAATAAATAAATAAATAAATAAATCCGTTAAACAGGAAAACAACTTATTAGGCACCGCCTGAAAAGCAGCAGCCCTGAGGGGGGCGGCGGGGGTGGGGGTGGGGGGTTACTCTGCAGAGAGCCTGCACGCAACTGCAGAGTGGCCAGCTTTGTGAACCAGGCTCTTAAGTTGCCACCCTAGGTCTTGGCCCCGGTGCCGGATCTTCTACGTAAACTAGAGTAGAAAACCGAATCTGATATTATTTTAGGTAGGCTACTCCAGAAACTTGAGCAAGGAAGAAAGGAAAGTGAAGTTTGCTGCTGCGCTTTCAAGCAGTCCCTTAGCAAGTGCGCTGGCTCTGCTCAGCCTAACGCAGATGCAGGTAGCCCAGGGGCGCCCAGTGTTAGCTCTCAGAAACCGGTTCTGAGTCTGGCGTGAGGGTGGCTTCTGTGACACCCCCACCCTATCCCTAGGTTAGGAAGCTTGACAAATTCCTCTCTTCCTTTTCTTCCCAGCTCCGTTTTGCTCCAGAGGGGTTTGGATGTGGATGCGTGAACGCTGGGTTTCAAGCACAGGATCTATTTTACTAAGCACCGGGCTCTGCTCTGGATGAAGTGGGAGTGGTGGAGGGGCCAAAGCAAGTATGAGCCTTCACCGAAAAGTAGGCGGAAAGACTATCAATTTAGTTCATTCCCAAGTCCTACGTCCCTTAAAGTAAGGTTGCGCAAAGGAAGAGCGGTTGTAATTTCGGACATTTTGCTAGCTGCACCCGGCAGATTGCCCAGCTGACCCGCGCGGCAGGAAAGGGCTGAAAGCGAACTGGGAACTCACCCCTAGAGAAATCCGTGGTAGTAACCGTGGCTCCTTAAACAAATAATGGCTAGAGGGGCTGAGGAATAGACTGAATTGGCGACGTTAATGAGTTCGTGATCTGCATGAGCCAGACGGAGAGGAAGGATTTAAGTTATAGGGTATGGAGAACAGAAGGACACGGAGCAGCAAATACAGTGGAGCAAAGGACCAAAAGTGGGAGAAGAGCATCTGAAAGCTTTCTCAGTTTCTAAGCTAAACTCTCAATGCAACCTTATTTGCACAGCTTTCCTGGTTCCTTCCACTACCCCAAGTTACTCCCAGCGCACCTTGGCGCCCTAGATGACATCCCCTCATACCCAGTCTCCCCTACTCTTCCTTCCCCACCCTGCTTTGGCGAGGGCCCCTGAGTGGTCCCAGCTCAAAGAGTCGTGATCCGGGAAGTGCAGGTGCCATTACGAAAGACACCACCGGACTCCAGGTTCTCAGGCTGAAAGTCCTCGACGCTGTAGGCTCTGCTTTTGAGGGCAGTGGCATAGTAGTCGACTGGCTCCTCGGCTGCGTTGTCCATCCAGCTGAGGCACAAGATGCGCTGGAAAGAGCGCTTGAAGTTGTCCGAGAGGAAACCATAAAGTATGGGATTGGCGCAGCTGTTGGCGTAGCCAAGGATGACCGACAACTGGCTCACGGTGGCGTCGTCCTGCTCAGCGAACACGTTGACCAGCTGCACCACGTAGAAAGGCATCCAGCATATGACAAACACCATCACGACCATCATCACCATTAAAGTGATCTTGCGCTCCGAGCGTTTGCGCTGCTGCCAGCCGGCCTTGAGGGCCACCATGCGCATCTTGGCGATAATGAGCACATAGCACAGGCAGATGGCCCCGACGGGCAGCAGGAAGCCCATAAGAAATGTATACAACACGAAGCCCACCAACCAGCGCTGGGCAGGCTCAGGCATGAGCATGTTGCAGGCCACCGTGCCATCGCTGTTGGCCGCGGTGCGTGAGAAGACCACAATGGGCAAGATGACAAGCAGAGATAGTACCCACACGCCCAGGTTCACCACTTTGGCCACTGTGGGGCGGCGGTAGCGGGCTGCTTTGATGGGGTGCACCACGGCCACATAGCGGTCCACACTGAGTACAGTCAGACAGTAGATGCTGGTGAACATGTTGACCGCATCCACGCTGAGCACGAGGCGGCAGAGCAGCGCGCCGAAAGGCCAGTGGCGCAACAACGTGGAGGTGACCAAAAAGGGCACGCTGAGCATGAGCAGCTCATCAGCAATGGCCAGGTTTAGGATGTAGATGTTGGTGGCCGTCTTCATTTTGGCGTAGCGCAGGATCACGTAGATGACCATGGAGTTCCCACACAGCCCCACCAGGCACACCACGGAGTAGATGAAAGAGATGAGAATTGCGCTCCCCTGGCCCTCGCTTAAGGTCCCGTTCTGGGACGCGTTTCGCCCTGGCTCCTCCATGCCGTCTGCAGAGCCAGCCCCGGGGCCCCTGCCGCAGCCGCCTGCGCTGCAGCTGCCCGGGCTGGGACTAGGAGAGGAGGAAGAAGAGGAGGCGGTGCCATTGGGGAACATGCCAGCTGAGGGGGGCCGCTGGGGCTGCCGGCGCTGGGGCGCTCTCCTGGAGTCCCCGCCGCCTGCGCCCTCCCTCGGTACCCGGTAGCTTTCCAGCAGCCTACTGTCACCGGGAACCTCAGGGTAGAGCGCAGCAGCTGCGGGGAGCGCGGCTCCTACCAGCGCCTGCTCCGCGCATCGCCTAGCGGTTGCCTGCCTGAGCGCTGCCTCTTGCTGCGTCTGGGCGCCTGGGCACACCAGAGTGTGGAGAACAGAGGCCAAGAGGCTTCACAGCCATTAACTGGCGCGGCTCTGGGCTGGTGAATGATTAATAGGCACCACCAGCGCGTCAGCAGCTACGAAAAGGGAGGAGGGAGGGAGGAGGGCAGTTAGGTGGTTTGTTCCCCCTCCCCCAATTTTTTCCCTTCCCAGTGTTTCTCAGGTTCAACTCGAGCTGTTGCTTCGGGGTTCCCTCGCAACACCTTTACCCATCGCTCAGAACGACCTGGGAAGTGCCTCCACCTTCCTAGAGGGCAAGTGGGAGCCAAAGGTATAGTGTTGGTCCCATCCCACCCGACTCCTACTCAAAGCAAAGACTAAAGCGAACCCCAAACATGGATGTCTGGATTTCATCTCAGTTTCCTTCAGTTGCTGACATCTCCTGGAGGAACACCAACTCCCTTAATGTCGCGGGGCCCGGGACCCTAAGCCCTCACCTCCCTCCACCGCTTGCCCTGCCCTTCAGACCTGCAGCTTAAGCTCCCGGTCTCCGTCCCAGAGCGCTCTATCTCCGGACCGAAGCGAAGACGCCCGGTGCAAAGTGCACGTGTGGTCTGGTAGCGCGCAGACGTTCTTTGCGCAGTCCAACTCCCTTTGGGCCCAACCCCGCACAAGAGCCCACGCAAATACTCTTAGAGTGGTAGAAACTGACTCTGAGCCGCGAGCATAAGAGCAGGAAGAATCACAACTGGTGTGTTAGGGGATTCTGATTTATAACACAGCAAGCAATTCCTCGCGGGCAGGAGTGTAAGGGGTCCGAGTGAAACACGGCGAATCGTTTAGTAAATGTTATAGTGCCCAGAGCTCCCTTCGTTTCCCATAGGAATATCGACTGCAGAAACTGGGACGCGCCGGTGGGAGCTCAGGAGGACCCTGAGGCTCCCTCCGGAACGTGCCAGGCACGGTATTGGAAATCCATCTAGGTATTCACTGGAGAAAGATAAGCCTGTGCTGCTCAGAGCCGCTCTGCCCGCGTCCCGGTTGTACTTTGTACCCTGGAGAGTTGGCGGGCGGGGCTGGGAGAAAGAGAGCGCAAAGGCCTGGATCTGAGGGAACCCAGCTCCATTAAATCCAAGAGGGGCCGTCTGGGCAGCTGACCAGACTGTCTTCGTCCCAAGATCCGCGGGAGGGCAGCCGGGTTTTCCCAGGAAGTATTAGGAAATACAAGTGTATTTCATGTGGCTAAACCTTTAAGACCCGGGCATTGATAAAGGCACGCCTGAAGCTCACTGACTTCATTTAGCAATTGAAAGATTTCCGTGTAAGAAAGAATGGGTGTTCAATTACCATGATTTTTAAATGACCCGTGGGACTTCCCACCATTCTGAGACTAGGCTTTCTTTGGCTTTTCAGTGGAAGCATCACAGTCCATTCAATTCCCCCATTCCTTTTCATAAATCCTTCCCTGCAAGATCCCTGCAAGTCTCTGAAAGGTGCCAGCTCTCAGGAAGAGGGACCTATGGCTGTCCAGTGCTCAATCTCCTTGGAGCTTTGCAGTCTCCAGTTTCTCCTTATGCTCAACTAAAAGGCACCCACTGTGCAATGAGTCTCAGTTTTTTCTCCCCTCAGTACATTTACACCAACGTGAGGCAAACTCACTGGGTAATCATTCACATATATATATATATATTTGTTAGTTCTCAAAAACAAAACAAAACAAACAAACAAACAAAAAAAAACCTCAGTGCTCTTGAGAGGGAAAGAATAGCTTGTGATATATTGGTGATAGCAATCAGAGATTAATTAAGTGACGACAGACTCATGTGTGCGATGGACACTGCCTTATTAATGAGAAAAGTGCTATGGTGGAATTTGAAATTTCATAGGGCTGATGCTGTTTAACCCATTGCTTTACTTAAACAACTTGCCTTATATCAAGTGGAATGGGAAATTAGTGTTCAGTTATGTTTCTTTCTCTCTTAAAAATACAACACTTGGAAGAGAGAAAAAATGAGTGTTTATCATGTTTAAAAAAAAATAAAAGGAATAGGTTTTGTCCCAGAAGAGCAGTTTACTACCCAAACCTCATAATGTTTTAGATGGCTCTGCCCATTACTCACTTGGCTGTATTTCTGGGAACTGGCATTCAACAGACATCTTTTAGAGGCATTGACTTTGATCATGGTGGCTCCAGGGGGAGTGGGTGATGGGAGTTGATAAAAGACAGCTTTATTGTTAGAATTTCATTAAGTTCACTTTGCAATTCATCTTAGAAAAAAACTTCTCTCAATTAAATTGTGGCCTCACATAAAAAGAAGAAAACTTAAGACCTGACATAAGCATGCTTTCTTCACTTGTGAAATGATTTCAATGATGGACCATTTATCCATAAAAAACAATTGACAATGAGATACCACTTTACACCCACTAGATGGCTATAATATATTTTTAAAAATGTTGGCAAGAATGTGGAGAAATTGGAACACTCATATGTTGCTGGTTGGAATTTAAAAAAGGATGTAGAAACTTAAAAAAATAGCTTGGTGATTCCTCAAAAGGTCTAAAATAGACCTACCAAATGACTCAGCAATTCTGTTTTTTACCCCTAAAAATTTGAAAATTGAAACAGGTTCTGGAATAAAAACTTGGACATACATGGATGTTCTAATAGCAGCAGCAACAATAACAAGTAGCAAATCAAATATCCATCAGTCAATGAATAAATAAACAAAATATGGTATAACCACAGAATTGAATATTATTCACCCCTAAAAAGGAATAAAGTACTGATACATGTTACCATATAGATGAACCTTGAAAACATTATGCAAAGTGAAAGAAAACAAACACAAAAGGTCACATATTGCATGAATCCATTTATGTGACCTGACAAGGATAGACAAGCACATAGTGACAGAAAGCAGATTAGTGGTTGCCAGGGGCTGGGGAAGAAGGAAATGGAGAAAAAAATACTTGATGGGCATGAGGATTCCTTTTTTGGATGAAGAAAATATCCTGGAATTAGTGGTAATGATTGTAGGACTTGTGAATATACTAAGAATCACTACATTGTACACTTCAAAATAACTAAAAAATATGAATGTATGTGAATTTTATTTCAATAAAAAAAGAGAGCAACTGAGATTAATGTAAGTTAAGCAATGTTACCAAATATCTTCAGTTATTTGTTTTTTATTATTGTATTTGAGAATCAACCTAGGAGCGAACAAAAACAAATTTTTTAAAAGGTGGCATTCCTGAGCTAAGCAACATATTAGGGATTAGGGTTACAGTTGTTTTAAAATCAGATTAAAAGCAGGAATCTGTCTTTCACTCATACCTCAATGTAAAGTAAATATTTCCTACAGAAACAGAAAATTGCTATAGGTATGGTATTGCTATGATGTTCTAAGATCACAGCCTATGAAAAGTCAGGACTCAACAACCTTCTTGTTTTGTTAAAAAGCTTTTTATTTTTTTTTTAAACTCATAAGTCTAAATCCTTAGAAAGAGCTTGTGCTCTCTACATAAGTTACCAGTCCTCCACCTCTCCCTTCTTTGGTGACTGTTTATCCTGTGCATCCATGATATGTATTTCTATAAAGGAAAAGAGAAAGGGTGTTTTCCAGGAAGGGAAGAGTGAAAAGTCCTAATTTAGGAGGCTGCAGATACTTGAACAGACTTATCTTCTTCCCATATTGTGATTTTCTCCAATAAGCTGCACTCCCCTGTGCCACCCTGAACCATAGACACACATTATTGTATTTTTCACCCTGTGCTGTATGCGTGTGTGTGTGTGTGTCTGAATGCACGTGTGCATTTTGTCCTCTCTTGGAAATCTATAAGCTTTTGGGGAATAGCATCTATATTTTATTTATCTTTCTATCTCCAGAACCCAGCACAATAGCTAGAAAATCACCCCAAATCTCCTTGCTTTTTTTTCAAGGTTACTTTTTTCTAGCTCATAAATTGTAGATGAAAAGACATAAACTGCAGGCCTCTTACAAGAACTTTAATATGTGGGTAACATCATCATCTGTAATAATTCCTCATACATTTATATTATTCTGAATAATTTCAATTTGCACATCCTATATCAACAATTATTATGCTGATGATTCATTCATTGATCATTCTTGGTCTTAAATTTCTTGGCAGAGAAAGGGCTCTGGAAAATGGGTAGTACATGCTTTAGTAGCTAATGATGGTTATTTAATAGTAGCATGCAGTGAGAAAGCCATTATACATGGAAGATCGTTTCTTTTTAATTGCAGTCCTGAGTCTCAGTTGGTTTGGTGAAACAGTAATTATCAGGAGCTCTAAGTCGGCTTCTGTCAAGATCATTACTAATGTGGTTTTTCCAGTTGGAACCTATGGTGAATCTTGAATGAGCTCTTATAATCCATGCATGTGGTAAAGGGTTGGCTGGGACCAGGGATTAAAGGAAAAACTTCCTGGAACATACTCTGCACTGGCATTGTCATAGTTGTGTTTACAAACACCTGTCCAGGCAGATGGGACCAAGCTGAGAATAAGGAGCAAGTACCACTCAGCAATATGGCCCAAAGTAGAGGATGCGTCATTTAAGAGCCATCTGCCACCAGGCAGCTAACATGATGGCGATCTAATAAGAAGGTTACTAGGGTTCAAAGTGACCATAGGACTTAGGAGCAATCCTGAACTTCATTTCCCAGGGATGCCTAATCACTTCACAGCAGCTTTGGTAGCCTGTGGTTCAGTTCATCACCAATCTCAGCAAACTGGCCCTGGCCTGCTGATTTCCCTCTAACCTCTTCTGTGAAAGAGCATAATGGTTTTTTTGTGCTTTCAGAAAAGAGACACGTATGGTACAACAACTTACTTTCTTTCCCATAGATTCTCTATGACAAATAATATTTCTAAAAAAAAGAATTGGGCACATGCAGGAAAGTATTTATTATTACTAACAGATAAGTGAAAACAGAACAAAAGTCACCACATGTTACCTATATTATGTTGAATGGTCCTTACCAGCAATGCAATTTTTTTCTGTAATAACGTCTCTGTTAGTTAAAGTTTTTAAAGTGGATTGCATTAGTTTCAAATAATTCTGTCAAAATATTTTTTCTTAATCTTTGTCATTTCTGAGCAGAA